TCTTCATCCATTGTGGAAATCTGGGACAGTACTGCCTGTACAGCCCTTTCACCTTTATGCTGTAGATGAATAAGGCTTGGGAGAAGGACTATACCTTTGTCCTCTCGCCTTAGTGAGGAAACACAGTTTCCTTTCTCCACTGTCTATTGGAACCACACAGTTTGTGTGTGGTGCCTTTGGGGTCCATGAGGAGTTTTCATGGAATAAGAGATCCTGTGCTCTAAATGTGCAGATTAGGAGGAGCGGCAGTGCTGTAAATGACCTATGCAGTAACATCTCCCAGGGGTGACTCCCTTGCAAGTCAGATTTGCCCAGAGTGAAAAGTTAGGGTCGTGACTGGGGAATTGAGATCCCCTTTCTGCATTCCTAACTAATAGAAAGTTCTAGTAGTGCTTGATAGTGACATTTTGGAATGAGTATCATGAAATATTCAGCTGTACATATATCTTAAAATGTTAAAATTAAAAGCATGGAGGCCAGGAAGATGTATGTGGGAATTAAGTAAGTCTACGTTTGAATCTTTTTTACCAGTTTTCTGGAGCTGTCCCTAGTTTGTGGCTTTACAAATGAGGTAGATCTGAGCTCTGGATATAGTCATTTAGAGCGTTGGACATGAAGGAATTCAGCATAAAATGCAATAGCTTTCAAAAATTACTAATAACCAAAATAAAACTGAATTTCAGTTTTTAATCTGAGATCCTGCTGGCTGACCATACTGCACATCTTGAAGCCAATAAGGTGCTCAAAGCGCCTAATTTGAAATAAGCATGCGCAGTTTCTCAGGCATGTATGTGTTATTCAAGTAAAATGATCGCATAAAATAGGTAGGGTTTTTTTTTTTCAAGATGAGTTACTCTGGGAAGGAAGTCTGAACTAACTTTAAACTTGTGAGTTGTTGAACATAGTTTATAAATTATTCCTATGAATATAAGGATCATGGTATCAGATTCTTATTAAGCAATTCTTTCATGCCTGTACTGAAATCCTGTGTACTTTGATGTATTTTTGAAGTGTCTGAAGATATTTTAATTTATTTAGACATGCAATCAAACTTTGTGTTTTGCAACTCATGGGGTTTCATTGTTTTAGGTCTACCTTTCTCCCTGTATCTGGAAATCTGCTATTAAACAGGAAGGACGTACATAAATGAATTATATACTTCATTATATAAAAGCAGATAACTAGAAATTCAAACATGTAGGCATTATGTCTGACATTGATCTTGTACTTGTCACCATGCTATGTCACATTTTTTGCTATTTTAAAATTCAGTGCCGCCCTTTATAAAAGGTGTAGGAGCAAGTGCTGAATTTTGTTAGCAGTTTGGCTTTTAATAGAGTGGAATGTCTGCCTGTATATGTAATTCTTTACCCTTTATTTTACAGCTGAATTAGTGCATTGAAGCCTAATTTATCCATTTTCCTCTTCAAACTGTATTCCTTAAAAAGGAAATCCATCACTACTTGAACCTTAGAACTTTTCTGTAGCAGTATAGAGTGAAGCATCCCCTGTTGTTGCATGGCCATGATTATTTAAAAAAAAAATATTACCAAGTACTGTATTCTTCAGTTAAACTTCTCAAGAGATAGGATTTGTGTAGGGCAAGCTAAGAACTTCTGTCATTAATTCACAACTTTGTTTCCTAACCTAACTTTCTAAACTTTTCCTACACTAACTTTCCCTGTGCTTAAGTTTGTCTCCCATTAGTTTTGTTGAGCATTGCCTTAGCCCTTCCTAAGTGAAGTTAGTAATTGACTTCATAATTCTGTGTTGGTGGAAGTTGACAAAATCAAGGTAAATCTTCTGTTTTCCAATGCTCATGTGATTTTGTGTAAGTAGTACTAAGTTCTGTGGTAGTTTTGAATATGTATTTACACATTTGGAATTTTAATCCACACTCAGCCTTGACTTCACTGTGCTTTGTTGTGATCAGTTTAAGTTTTACTGCTGGCATCAATAAGGTCAAAGTAAAATCAAAATGAACTGCTTTAAAAAATGTAATAAAATTGCTACATGCAGTTTGGTAATTATAAGCAACGAATTTAACTTTAGTCCTCAGGAGCTTTCAGTGGTGTGTTTATTAATTCAAAATTATCTTAATAAAAAGCTGCATTTGAAAGTTTTACCCACCCAGGATTATTTAGGAACATTTATCTTTGTTGTAGGTGGTCCATATTAGAAACCTATACAGTTTGTTTTGCTTTGAGTGGACAAAGGCCAACAGGAATCCCATCTGTACTGTCACTTTAGCCACAGCAAACCTAACAGTTACCTTCTGGGGACTGAAGCAGCTAAAATACTTCAAGAGTGAATACACAGATCTCTTGAGAAATCAAGTTGTCTTGGTGTCCCAACACTGGTAATGACTGAATCCATGTACAACTTGTAATGTCAATGCTGAGCCTCTGAGTACTTCTGCAGACAATTCAGAAAGGAAAACCAAAGTAAAGAGTCAAGTGGCTCATAATCAGTTGTGAAGTATAAACAATGTAAGAATTTACAAGTGTTCTGTCTTCACATCTACTTTATCACAAATAAGTCTTGCTCTTAATTTTTGCAATCTGTATCAACTTGGAAGTACTTCCTAATTTTTAGAAAGTAGTATATGTATATGCTATCAATAAAAGATGGGGAATGGAAAACTCGGATACCATGAAATATTCCAGACTTCCTCTATACTTCTTTCCCAGAGCTGTACCTCTTATAGTGATATCCTCTTCCTTTTTTTTGAATAGCCAACACACAGTGAAACCAATGTCCTTAAACTGTGGTTTATTATTATTCATTAGGCAGAGTTGCCGGTAAGGAATTGTAAGGGATGTAATCTGCTTTCATCAATATGCAAGTGTAACAATGCTTTTCATGCAAATTGAAAAGAAGTTACATCCAAAAGAACACAACTGCCTGTCAAGTTTGGTAAATGGTATTAACATAAAAACTAGTATCTTTTTCACATAGCTATTTTTCCAAAGCATTCTTCATCCTTTTCTTCAAAAAATCATTTTGTTTCATTCATACACTGATTGAACCTGAGTGTCCCCAGAAATAGCTGCTGTTTGAGTTTCTTTCCCTAGTTGGCTGTTATTTCATATGTGCCATCTCTTTGTAAAAGAACACCTGTGTATCAAGTGGTGACATGCTGGTACTCAGCTTTCTTCTTAAAAATAGGCTTATACCAAAAGAATAGTATAAACCTAACTTGCGTCTAAATTTACCATACTTTACTGATGTGACATGCTTGGAAACAAACCTTCAGTAAATATTTTTATTTTAAAATATTATTTGCGTAGTTGCCTGAAATCTCTTTAATATCTGAGATTTAAGTATTAAGATAGCCTTAATAACCCTTCACACTGACAGTATTTCTGTGAAGTATTGCTGTTTGCAGAGTAGGAACTGAAGCACAGAAAATAAATAGCTGCTCCTTGGTTGTGCATGAATACAGTTTGTTACTCCACATTTCTGGTTCTGTGCTGATGTTGTGTGAATGTGAAGTGGTGAGTCTTGGTTTGGCTTAATTTTGGGCAGAGTCAGTGTGGGGAAAGGCTTATTAAAGGGATGAGAGGCAACAGGAATGTGACTTACTGATGTTCTGAACTGCTCTTCAGAGAAGTCTCGATTCTTAGTGTAGGCAGACCAGACTGTGTCTCAGAGGGAAGACAAAGGATGAAGAGTGGTCCTGAAGTATTTAAATGCAAACAGCAACCTTTTGGGAAAGATGCAATTGCTGAGTTTTCATTGTGGAACTGGAAATAGGCTACTTTGAAAGCAGTGTGCCTGTTCTACTTTATTTAAAACTGTAACATCTATCCCTTGTCTGTTTTGTTACAAATGTGAATACCAACTAACTTCTCACATCCCCAAAATGCCGATCCTCTTCTCATAATAAACACAATCCATTGTATATTTCGGCTATTGTTTCTTAAGTGAGTGGATGCAGACTGCTTTAAAGGTTTAGTGATGATCTGCTGCTGCCATTTAGTGTGCTCTTTCAGACTGGCTACCTTTAATTAGAAGCAGACAGGTAGAATATGCTTTATCATGGATTATTGTATTCTCTGTGGAATTTCTTACATTTAGTAACAAGAAATTTTGCAATGAAATCTTTAAGTTGGAACACAAGTAGAAATGTATACTTTTTTTTCTTGAAATTCTTATTAACTGGATTTTTGGGACTGTTACTCTTCTTCCAGAAGTAGTAGAAATAGTCCACAGTAATGTAAAGATGCGCGCAACTGCTCTTATGCTGTGTGATCCATGGGAAACTAGGCTCAAGCTGATATTCTGATCACCAGATAACAGTAAATATGCACAGACTAAACAGCTGAAGGGTTTTTTGGAGTATCTGGTTCACTGGGTGGGCAGTAGTTATGTAATTTGACCTTCAGTCATCCGGTGTTTATGTGAATGATTCTTGGCAAGGATTTCCTCAGAGGGAGAGTTGAAACACGTTTTGATGTAGTATCCATATATTTAAGAAGATTCTTTAAGAGACTGGAGTGCAGAAAAAAAAAAGTTGTTAAAACTGCTCTCAGGAAGGAAGTTAATGACTCATGTAAACATGTGTAGTGAGAATGTTTTTTGGTCAAGAAAGGAATAAATGAGAAGAGCTGGAAGAGCTGGTGTCAAGGCAAAAGTGGAGTTAAGGTGTACTAGGAGTAGGGATATCATACTAGAAGGTAATTATAAATATGAATGTCAGGGTGAATGTGATAAGGATTTTGGAAATACCTGTTAGATCACATTCTCTTCTCAGAGGTGTTCACTCTTCTTATTATGTTTAAGCCTCTCTTCCTATTTGTGCTTTTGTCATAGGAACTCTGTCCTAGCCAGAGTGTGTGTATATGTGTGTGTTCACTCCTGGCTACATGCTTTTCCTTCCCTGCAGGAGCTGGCAGTTTGGTGAGGCTTCTCAATGTACTGCTGTGCGAGACTCACTGTGGTTTTTTGGTGAACATCCCAGGACCTGGAGGGGCTGGGGAGCATGTGCCTGTGTGAACCCCCTTTCCTAGTTCTGCTGGTGAGGTGGGCATGTGGGTAAGCCAGAGAACAGGGGTGCTGGAAATCGACAGCTTCACGCTGACCCTGTTGAAGCTGAGAGCCCAAGTATGGCTGTGTTTCGATAAAAGGAGACAGTTTATTTGTCATTCATCTCCATAGGGCTTTTTCATTAAGATGGTAACACTAGGTAGAAGTGAATGGGCCAATTCACACCTCTGTATATGTGCCTATCTCAACTGACTTGGAAATCTATTTGCCCTTTAGAATTGCTATGAACTGACATCTAAAACATGAAGGTTCAGAGTACAGTGAGACACCAAATTCGGGTTTATTTGACCCTGAGATAAATAAATAAAGCATGTATCATGAATTTTATAGACATTCCCAATTTCTTGCAGAGTGCTCCAATTGAAATGATGATTCCGTGGTTGACAGAGGGTCAAGACAGGGGTGTGTGTGCATGTTTGAGAAGAAAAGCAGGATGTAGTTCAAATTTCTTGTTACGAAAAAGAGTGGGATAAAGCTGAAGGATGCAGGACTTGTCTTGCATGCTTAGAGCTACTGTAATGTAATAAAACTTGGGATTTTGTCACCCATACAATGTGAGACTTTTTCTTACTGGCTCTGTTGAGAGTAGGCACAGAAAGTGCATTTAGGGTCATACAAACAGTCTTTATTGTACACTATGGCATCTACAAGTCATTGTGATCTCTTAATTTCTGTAACAAATACTCCCCTTGCAAAAAGCCAAAACCAGAATCCATATAGTAAATTAGCAGTGTGTCTACCTTAACACATTTAAAGTTTTCCAGTGGTAATTTCTGTGTCTCGGGTGTAGTTTGACAGCAGGGAGATGATACACTTAAGTGCTTTGAAACAAACTTTGTTCTTCCCTCTTTGACTAATGTTGCATACGCTATGGCTGTCTAAAAAGCTCTGAATTGCAGCTGCCTAAACTGTTAAGTGAAATACTTATTCAACTCTACAGAAAGGATTTCTTTGCTTCCCTTTGCAATTGTGGAATCATAGTACTGTCCAACACCTTTGTTTCTGGTTCCTGATAGCAGAAGATTGTGTTTATCTTTTCTGACTGTGAGGAATCCCCATGGCAAGAGGCTCCAGTACCCTGCAGTACTATGAAATGTGCAGTATTCCGGCTGTTGGATGTGCCCTTCTTATCACGTATAAAGGTGGCAGTGTTAACTGTCTTTTTATTGCAATTACTGTTTTACAACTGTTTACACATAAGCCCTCCTGTCTCTATAGCTACCTCTCGCACAGTTAATGTAATTCAGATTTGCCCACATGCTTCCCAAAGTTTTCATTTTGGGAAAGGGACAAGCCTTTACCTTTGGTGTTCGGAATTTTGAACTTTGTTCTGAGTGATTTGGGAGAGAGAGGGAAGGTGAGGCACAATGAGAAGCTGTTAGCACAGGGTAGCTTTAAGTCAAAAGTTCTGTTTCGATTGGTTTTACTATCCTGTTGATCTGTAGTGGTTCTTTAGTACTAATAGCTTTATCACTTCTTAACATTACTCAGGTTTAGCCATTCTTTCGTTTGTGCTTCCCACCACCTAGGTAGATTTGTCCATGGAGAACACAAAGCCATTATATTTGCTTTCTTCAAACCCTCTTGCCTCTGCCGTGGTTCCTATAAAGCACTGCCATTTGATTATGTTTTGGCACCTAGTGTACTGGGATTTCCAATTATTTTATTTATTGTGCTTTTTTATTGTCCTTTCCTTTACCTAATAAAAATGTAACATATACAGTTTTCAAAAAGCAGTGAGCTCTGTGGAGCAAGAGTTGTTTTTCTTATTTGTACAGTCCTTGACACAATAAAGCTATTATCATGATACAAGCTTATTTGTGCTGTTAGGAAAAAAATGCAGTAGTATGTTATTGTGCTTTACAGATGCCATGAGCCAAGTAAAGAATACTAAACTTTTGGCAAATTTATTTTTAAAATACTGCATAGTGTTTGAAATATAAGGTGTTAAACTCTTTTACAGGTGTGCTCATGCTAATATGCGATGTACAGCAACAGCATAATTCTTGCAGGACAAGAATCACAGGATTAATAGCAGATAACATGGAAGGGAATGAGGAAAAAAAAAAAAAGGGAAAAATTCTGCTTTCCAAAGAGAGGAAAATACGTACCGGTTTGGGTGTTAGAGATTTATAGCCGTTTGTCTATTGTTTTTTAATTATATGAATACATATAGAGTATTTCTAAACTTTTAAAAACATCCATGGGGCTTCCTGAAGTTTCCTGTTTTAAAATCAGCAACATGAATCTGTGCAGTAGCTGTAGCAGAGTTTTCTCGAAGCTTACATAGGTCTTGCATAAACACTGGAGAGAGAATAAATTTTACTGGATTATAAATTTGACTGGGTATTTCCCTTATCATTTGTTTGCTTTGATGAAACTAATTTGTTTGAACAAAAGAATGTAAAAGTAGCAAGGCTGCCACACAGAATTCTGACATGGGTGCTGAGCATACTCATGCAAGTATGTGTGCACACATGTTCATACCAGGAGTATGCCTTGGGTATTTTAAGATCTGATTCTTAGTTAAAGAAGTTATTAATCTGAGTAAAATCAATTTAATATTTTGCAGGCATTCTGTCTTCTATTAATGTTTGTCTTTTTTAAATAGAAGCAATTCGCAGTGCATTTTGAGGAATGCAGTATGTTATGACTGGCAAGTTACAGCAAGTTTATCTCTTCCTAAATCATAAAGATATTTAATAAACAGCATAGTTTAGGAAAATCTAAAAAATTAGTGTAGCTAATTAATAGCTTTTGCTATAATAGTGATTAAAATTTTGAAGTTGACAAGTAACAGTAGAGAAAGAGCTATGTGGATTGAATGTCTTTAATAGTGAGAACAGAAGCATTTACATGTTGTGGTTCCCTTGAAACTCAGTGACATCTCCACTTCTGTCTGCTCTAACTAGAGCAGATCAAATTATTCATAATAAATAATGAAATTAATTTTCCACGTGGGTGTTTGCATGAGATTAACAAAAAGCATTGTTTTACAAGTGTTGAAGGTACAGGCCTGAAGTGCATTGCCTTAGCTCTTCCCTCCTTTGGCTGTGCTTTTTGCTGTGTTGTTGCAGTCCACATAAACGGTGGTGTGCTGAGTTATGCTGTGCATGGTTACTTCTACACTTTAATTAGTTCAGTGAAGCATTAATAAGAGACAGAGACTGTCCTGTATTACTGGAAGAGAGCTGGGCAGGCTGCATGATATTTTGTGTAAATTCGGTTTTGGTCTGAATAGGTGTTAGGGGTCTAAAAACTCCAGTTACCAGACTTTGCATAAACAAGTCTGTGCAAGTATTTGCAAGGTCTGTGATTTCTGTGAACTCTTTTTTTCCTGTAAATTACAGAAAAGCTTTCTTGGGAACTCAACAGTGCTTTTTAATTCTATCAGAAAGAAAACAAAACTCATTAAAGAGTATAAAAGGTTGTCAAAAGCAAAGTTTTATTTCTAGTAATAAGTAGCAAGAAGGGAAGAAAACAGAGTTTTATCTTTCAAATTAGATTATTTTTCCTAGATGCAATAAACATGCTGTGCTTTTATGATTTTTATATTTGATGTATGTGCAAAATGTGCATGTAAATATATTGCTGCTCCACCACCCGTTCCAGTGAATGGCTTGCATTCAATTCAGTTATGTCATTACAGTGAATGCAGCTGGGATGCTTTGCAGTTAATTCTAATTTATTACTGTTAGCTTCATGAAGGCACAGTTGAAGCTCAGCAGGTATAAACTCTTGACTCCACTATTCCCTGGTTTGTTCAGGCCAATGTTCTAGAAAGAATCTAGCAAATCTGAAAATTATGGTTAGATTTTTTAATCCCCTGCTTTTGTTCCGGTCAGAAGTATGGAATTTCCTCCTTAATTTCTGCCTGAATTAGCCCTTCTGTTGAAAAAAGGCTTGAAATAAATGGATTTTGTAATTTTATGAATCCAACAAGCTTTTTGGATTTTGAAACCACTATTCTCTGGATGTCACACGATTTTGTTTTTTTTTTTTATTTTTTTTTTTCCTCTTTCTAACATGACTACTTTTTCTCTTCTGAGTTGTTGGTCACATGAGATGTGGGTTCCACAATAAAGATGCAGCAGTGGAGCAGTGTTTTCCTTCTTTTTGAAAATCCTCGTGATTCTTCCCCCCCACCCCCTAATATCAAGTACTCCTACACTATTTAAGTTTTTTTGGGAACAAAATCAGTTCGAAGTCTGAGTCATGCTGTCATCTGGAACTAGAAGCTTGGATGTTTTGAGGGTTCGTGGTAGGGATTCATGGGGTAATAGCAGATAATATTTTAATTTCTGCAAGCTTATAATAGATTTTGATGGCTGCAGTTATTAGTTTATGAATAATGATTTCATGTCTTCTGTTAGCTCTTTCAAGATGGAATGGAATCAAAGCATTTGAAGAAAACAGGATATCCAGCAGTGTTTTATCTTAGCAATATGTGACCTGAAGCCTTGCTTTTACGATCTAACTTCTGATAGAGGCCTGAAATCTTCTGGTTGACTGTAGATGTTTATTCTTTGGTGGGTTGGTGTTTTGGTTTTGTTTTTTTGTGTTTTTTTTTTTTTTTCAGTATAATACACCAGCTGTATGTAGGCTGTTGCCTACTGCCATTTGTTCCTGTAGTTACAAGGAATTAAGATGGAAATCAATCTAAACTTGCATGGACCAAAAACAAAACCAGGTTTTTTACTGCAACAGTGATTTAAAGAAACTGTAGTAGATAAAAGAATGAAGCATGTGAAGAGTATGAATCAAATCTGAAATGCTTTTCCCCCTGCTGTATAAGCACTGTGCAGCCCACACATCAAAATTTTCCCCTAGTCTGGCACGTCTCAAATGTGAAGTACATTTAGTATCTAAAACGGAATTTCAGAAGAAAAGAATAGTTACTGCAGTTGAACACATACCAAGGCTCTGAAGAGTCCTTTGTTAAAATAATTGAGTTTTATTATTTTAAACATAGCTGTTTAAAATAGCTAGAAACTGGCTTTTTCTAAGTTTGTAAGTAATACGGCAGTGGAATGTTTTCAGATAGAAGGGAAAATTGTTAGGTTCACATTCATGATAGGGTTTAATCAGTTAAGAATAGGCACCTAATCCTCATAAAGGAGATGGTTCATTTAAGGATGGGTCGGCAGCATAGTCTCTTGCTTTTATTTTTTCAACCCCTAGTTTCTGGTCTACTCCTTTTTCCTCTGATTTCCTTAACTTTTTTAAAGTTACTTGAGATTGAGCTGTAATTTAGAAGACTGTATATGCTGTTTGAATTGTTTAATTGGTTTTAGTAATATGTTTCTTTCTGTCTAATCTGAAATGCTGCACTAGATTACCACCTTGGAACAAGTACAATTTGCAGGTGATGGTCAGTCAAGTAACTCCTTTTATACCTGGCTGGCAAAAGTATAGGGTTTGACATGAATAGAACTACTTATGTGCTTAAAATCAGGAATCTTGTTGAAACTGAGCCAGCGTCTCTGCTAGATTTCCAATTTCCACTGCCTGCTGCCAAGTATATTAGAGCTGTCTATAAATAGTTTGTGGAATTTTTGAGTGAGAAAAAAAAAAGCCAGGTTCTTCTCTGTCCCCACCTTTTCAAACTACAACTGAGAAGCTTTAACTATTTTTTTTCTGAAACTTTCACACAGAAATCCTTAAGTCAAGTTAGTTTCATTATTAATTTAAAATATTGTATTTTAATGACAATAGACTCAATTAAAAGTTGTCTTATTAGATTTGCAGTTGTGCCCAAGTGTGTGTTTTGTTGTTTTTGTCTTTTTTTTTTTTTTTTTCCCCACCTGCAGCATTAAATCAGAGTTGCTATAGTTACTACTCTGGCTTCTCTTTTGCAATCTATGATAAAGGAACCTCAGGTTATTTTGGTAATTTGGTGTGCAAAGATCTCTTTCAAAAGCATTTCCTGTTTTCTTGTGAGAGTCTCTCCTGCTGGTACACCCAGAGAAAAGGTTTGTTCTGCATTAAACACAGCCAAGTATAGAAGTGCTGGTTGCTTTGTATGTTTGACCAAAAGGGAGGGCTGTCCTTTCCTATTGAAGAGACAAGAAAGAATGGAAAATGGCTGAGAAGATGCACCTTACAGAGCAGGAATGTGAGAGCTCACACTATAGACAGCGGCATCTTCCGAATGTTGCTTGATGTATCCCAGTGGTGCTGGAGGCTCTGTTTCAATACTCCAGCATCATCTGGCTGGCAGCATCTCTGTCAAATTTGCATTATGCTAACATCTTGCTATGATTTATATGGAATTTTGTAAATTTTCTTTTGTGTGTTGCAACAGCATTCACAATTGGTGTAATATTAGTGAATAATGTATGCGGTACTTAATGAATCCAGAAAGAGAACTTGCGTTGCTCATACTAAATGACTGCGGAGACTCTGCAGCTTATGCCTGAAGTTGAGCTGGAGCCTCCCCGGCAGCGCTGGAGCTGCAGTGGGCAGAGCATACTTGGGATGTTGGGTACCTGGACATGTCCCACAGCCTGGCAGGAGCAGATATGTGGAGCAAAACAAATTGTGCTGAAGATCTAACATTTACACTGTATGTATTCCCAGACGTTTTTCCTTCAACTAACTCTAGCGTGGCCCAGAGGACCGAGTACCCATTACCAGTGGGAGTGTGTAATCTAAAATGAATCCAGTTTGGTGATTCCAAGGCCACAGTGTGTAGTCTGAACCAAAGCACAGGAAGTTTAGGCTTCTGATATAGATTTGGAAACTTTGTGACTGTGTTTTGTTCACTGAGAGATGAAGACCTGTTTTTCAAAAGTATCATGCATCTACATGTCATTTAAAGTCCCTCTGTAAGGAGGAAAGGACAGTATAAGAATGAGGGGATGATGCAAAAATGCGAGGTTGAACGGCAGGTTTTAAGTATACTGTGCAGACTTTTGGCAGCAGCATGCCCATTGTTTTATACCTAAGAAATAATTTTCTAAGCACAAAATTGTAGATATTCATTGTTGTAAAAAGTGAAAATTAAAACCTATACAAAACAATTTCATTCCAGAATTGATTCTCTATTTCTTGTCTTAGTTTTCTAAATAAAACTACATCACAGTTGGTCTAAAATAAAAATACTACTACATAAAATAACAGCATTGAGTATTGTAAACAAATTCTGTGCTTTATCTGTTTTTACAGTGAAATTTTATGTGCTTATTTCCTGCTTTTGTATCATAAACATTTAAATAAGCCACTATTTCAGTATAGTTTCATCTGTTAGTCATTTTTATTCTTTACTTAATTAAAGAAATTAATTATGCCATTGTAGTATTTGAGTATACAACACTTTCTCATTTCACATGAGCATTTGCTTTCACAGAAATTTAAGATATATTTACAGTATCTTCTTTGTAGCAGATGTTTTTCTGTTATAGGGATTTGAAATAAATCTTGTTGCTCTTGTCTACGTAGTTTACCTTTAGTAGGTAATTCTGACTGATGTCTGCACAGCAGTAAGGCTTTCTCTCAACGTTTGTCTGTTGCATGTGTAATTTTATATCAAAAGAAATGGTTATTTAATCCTTCCCTTACCTGAAGGATAATTTACATCTTGCTGCATAGCCTAATGCTGTTTTACAAATGGCCACCTGAAATTCCTATGACTCCAGTACTTAACCCCAAGGAAATATGGAAAAGAACTGCAGATAACTAGTTAACACCAAACTATTGATTTAAAAGTAAATAATACAAAATTTGTCAATAAGTCTTGCAAAGATTCTTCAGTTACACTGGAGTTTATTGATCAGTTAATACCTAAAAGTCAATATTGTCCCTTCTCATGATGCTTTTTTAATTGCCTTTTGTCATGAAACATATGAATTTATGCAAAAGGACGTGGTGACCTTTGTCAAGGAAGTAAGCAGCAGTTGGGTGTAGGACAGAAACTTCTTGTCAAAGATGCAATGCACTATATAAAACACAGCAATAAAGATAAGAAAATGAGATGACTGGATCGTGAATCGTATCTTGAGTAGTTAATCCAAATACATATTGGTGCACAAACATGTTAATCTGATCTCATGCATATCTAATAGAAAGGATGCAGTGATTGCAAACTAAGCCATCAGCAGGAAGGAAATAATTAAATGGTGTCACCTGTAAAGGCTGTGACTGGTTTTGGTAGGAATCTGGGACTCATGCTGCTGCTTTGCTTTTGCTACATCTCTATATTCAGTAACAGTGTTGCGTGGCTTCAGTGGGCTGTGTACTCTGGGCTCTGCAGCACCTTAATTTGAATCATTCCCTGTAGCAATAATACTGTTTATTTCATGAACTGTTCTGGGAGAGTACGTTTCAAATGTTTAGACTGACCTTTTTTTTCCCTCCCCCCCCCTTTCTGTTTGCTCTACTTTCAGTTCCTTGTCTCTTGTAATGTTGAAGTTGCACATGTAATTCTGTTCCTGTCTTCTGAGGAAGGCAAAGTCTGAATTTCTGTAATACAGTTTAGCAGTAGTTGGAGAACATGTTTTGCCCAGATAGAAGAGAAAGTACAGGTGAAATGATATTCTAAGAGACTTTGCTAGTCTATAAAGGATGAAAAAACAAGTCTAGCCCCTTTTGTTACTCTCATGTTCATTTGAGAGTATAGAAAGTTTTATTTTCCTCAGTTGCATAATCTCAATTTACTGTGTACTGCTCCTCTGCAGTACAGGAGCATTTGGAAGCAGTATGGCCATATACCAATGGATATGTAGCTCTTTGCCGTTGCTACAGCATTAAATCCCTGCATTTTATGCATTTAATTCTAAATGCACAGTAGTTTGACAAATGTAGGTGCAAAATGTTCAGGAAATGAGGAGCCAAAAGACTGAAGAGGATCCTACCTAATTTTTTTTGGCCAATTAACTACGTGTGACCTACATGTAAATAATTCAATATAGTATTTTGGATTACATACTGAACACATGTTTTTATCATAGAACTGTTTAAGTTGGAAGGGACCTTTAAACATTATCTAGTTTATGTGGAGGAGGGCAGCAGTTCTTGTTTTTCTCTTGGTCTCCCACCTGCCCTGCTCTGAGCTCTTAACATCTTAACCTTAGATTAACAGTAGTTGTCACAGGTAGGCAGTTGGCCTTTGCTCTGCTCGCCCACGGACTCAGCAGATGAGTGTGGCTGTGGATCAGCCTGACACACGGCATCGTCGGGTGGAGCTTGTTTCTGCACCACTGTGCTTGGGGACCTGCAGGAAGCGCGGGGTGGGATGGCCGCTGGCTGGGACTATCACAGAAGGTGCTAGCAAAAGGGGTTGCTTCTAAGAAGCATGCTGGAATATAACAGAGGCATCATGGATGTTTTCAGCTCCCATATCTCTAGATCAAGCAGGATATTGCTGTTTTTGACTAGGGCATCTTAGGACCACTGCTAAGTGGCTTTTTAGTGGGATGATATGTAAGAAAGGCTGTTCATGGAAGTGTGAGATTCTTATTTTGGTGGCACTTGGTCAGAAGCAAAATTTGATGAAGTAGAATGCAAGGTAACCTCAGCTGTCAAGAGGCAGTGTAAACAAGTTAAGTTTACTCTTTGTAAGATACAGAGTGGACAGGAATTTTGGGAGTAGGATGAAGAAAGGAAGTTTGGTTGTGAAGTACATTGTCTAAAGCAAGCTGAACACGTACCATGAAAAAGGGTGTTTGGAAACACGTTATATGCTGGAAGTCTTGTTGATCTCTTGTCCCTAATAATTGTGGTTGAAGAGAAATATCCTGTCTGGTCTGCTTATGTAGCATTCATTATGCACCACAGTACCTTTTAACTCAAAATAGTTTAGAAAAACCTCTCTTGTTGTAGCCATTCAGCTACAGCAGTTCCTTAATTTATACAGTTCTATTTATTAGAGGGGCTGTAATTTGGCTGTTAAAGCTAGTGGCAGAGACTTAATCTTGATATAGAAAAATTTAACTTCAATGGAGATAAGTTTGCATGATTTTTTTTTTTGTGGACAGTAACTACTTGGTCTAACAGCAAGAATAAAGGTAACTTAAATGTGGCGTTTACCACTGGATTTTTTTTTTTTTTTTTTTCATTTCAGCAGTCAACTTCTGTATAAAACACAATCTGGATTTAACTAGTCCCAAGATACGTGATGTTCTTTCAAACTGAAGTTATAAAATTCAGTTTTACAAGCATAGTGGACAGTTGCATGTACCATACTTTTTGGGTGGACTTTTACAATATTCATCACTTCGCTGTGTGTTTTATTACTAGTTTTAATCAAATTGAAATTAAAATAGGATTTTTGTTTAAGAGTTATTATTTTCTATCTCAAATATATCAGTATTTAGATAAACTTCTTGTTCTTTGTCTGAAACCTCCAGGTTCATATATCTGGAATACCAGAAGCTTATCTTGTTTAATCTGAACATTTTGACTAAGAAGGGCACTTAATTATGGCGGGGGGAGGGGTGTCTGTTTGGCTGTGCCTTTTGAAAACTATGAATTTGAGTGAAATATAAAGGACAAGCTCATTTCAGGGCTGTGGGCTTACTTCTATGCAGCTAATCCTTTTGAGTCTGATACTGATCCCATTTTGAGAGCGATCTGTGCTGCATAGGCTATGGGGAAGGAGGAATGTAGAGGGGTAACATCCGAAAATGAAGGCTGCTGTGTTGTGATTAGCCATCCACATTAGTCTAAGCATCACTGCTACTGTCTGGGTTTCAAATATATAGAACATGGCAGCTATTTTTTCAGAGCATGTTGTGTTCTTTAAGTGTGAAAGCATTGGTTTTATTCACACTTTCCCCTTACAGTTTTCCTGTACAATTTGGTTAGAGTTTGCTGCTGCGATGTTTTCCTTGTTGCCAGCCCCACTCCCCTGGCCTGTGTTTATTTTCCTATCTGTGATGAAAGTCTGTAGATGTTAGTGAGTCTAATACCTTCAAAGGCTATAATTTTTACCTTCCGCAGAGTTTTGTTCTCTTTTCCAGACCCTGTGTAGGAGTGTAGGGCTCATGACCCTTGGACCAGGATGTTTGGAAGTGATGTTGTGAGGGTATTGTGTTTTTTGGGGTGGGGACTGTTTAATGTAGTTTCAAAGAGACTGACAGGGGAGAGATGCCCCAACTGCTGGAAAACCTGAAGGCAAACCTAGTGTCATCTTGCCTGCTTCAGTGGTCAGTCAGCTGAGACACAAATCACAAGGAATTAAATCAAGTGTTTGTAGAATTAATTGTTGTCTGTTTCTTCTTGCTCCTAAGAGAAGACAGCATGTCAATCCAGAGGATTTGGGCGGGATAGAAAAAACTGACAAAGATCAAAGGGATTGGCTTTGTGCTGTGAAAATAAAATTTCATGGATGAGTCTATCAGAATCAGTGACCAAATTTGACCATAACCATACCTTGAACATTTAAGATATTTTTAAAGTTATCCAAGACAGAAAGGCACCTCAGAAATTTGAGTTGTTCCATACTGTAAACACACTCAATAACCAATCAGTTGATTTTTTTTTTTAATTTTTTTTTTTTATTGCAGTCAAAGTCTTTATAGATATTACCAGCAGTGGTAGCAACAGTCATGTGCACTTAAAAAGAAAACCAACAACAGTACTTTCCATACTTTTGTTTAACCTATAGGTTACCAGTAGCTTAACATATTTTGTATCCTGTTGACCAAACATTCTAAAATACTCTATTTTGATTTTTTTTTTTTTTGAAAAAACATAGAAGATGCTTATTTTTATTTTGAGCCTTTTCCATTTGAATTTAACTTAAATGCAGCTGCTGACCATATGTTAAGCTGCAGGACTAAAGTTGACATACATTTCTGTTTAATGTCACTTATTTTAAGTGGTCCATATGTCCTAAGTATTTATGAAAGGATATAAGAGAGATGGGTATAGTCCTGGTTACACAAGTGTTGGAGTTTTTTTAAGAAGTCACCAAAAAAAAAAACCACCAAACCAATAAACTAATGGAAGATGTCAGTTTTTGAAAAACAAACTTGTTTTCTCGCAGGCAGAATGGATTTGTGCAGGAGCTTGTCAGTGTGTGACTTCCAGTGCTGTGCTGTCACACGTACTTAACCAGCTCCTATAACTGTTGCGGACAAACTTTGTGTCAAGTTTTGTTAGGTGTCATCTGTTTTAGTTTAAAACTTCAGATTCAAATGGCAATGAATAGTAAATATTTCTTTAAAACATCGAGAAATATGAAAGCTTACTGGTGACCGAAGAAAAATTATTTATATACTCTGTTGTATTAAATAGGTAGATGAACAGGAATTTAAAAGATAATTATGTTCCCATATCTTAATGTCAATTACTGATCTGTAATCTGATATATTGATATTCTAGTGGGCTCGGTTTGTATGGAATCATGTGATATAATTGTTGAGGTCGTACAAGGATCATTGCCTAAAAATTTCATAAAGCTGGCAGCAGTTAGTAACGCTTAAATGGCACCTGAACACACTCTGTTTCAGTGGCAGTTTCCAGTAAAAAAGGAAGTAATAATCTGAGAGGTTTCTAAGGTTCATCTTTCATGTAATGAAGGATTATTGGGAAGGAAATAATTTTTTAAAAAACATCTTTTGATACTGTAGTACTTGGATCTGAGTTGAGGCTTCATCACACATAAGTGCTTCTTCTGACTAATTACTGAAGTTAGTTTGGTAATAAATGTGACATCACTTTATGTCAAGAGATTAATTGCTAGATCATAAAGCATATTTCAGTGAAAAATATTAAAGTGTTCTGGTTTTAGATACTGACTTAAGTTTTCTTTTTATGTTAACCAATTAAATCTAAGTCAGTGTGTACAAGGTTTGGATATGAGTTCCCATTTTAGTGTGCTTCTTGTTATTACTGATTTATAGTTTTTGTCAATTTTTAATATACTCATTGCTTTTCTTCCATCACTTCAGTGTTTTGTCAGTATTTTCATGTTTCATTACTGTATTTTTATCAGAATCAATTTCATTAAAATTCTGGGGCTTTTGTTTTCCTGGTCTTTATGTATAGGCAGCTGTAATTCACATTCTGGGGACATTAATGGAGTGTCCAGATATTGACTGCCTTCAGTGTAATTACTTCATGTTTTTTCATATTTCTAAATGTTTGTTAATTCCTTTTTTGTCATGCTATTCATTTTCATTGTTCTATACCAACTACAGATATAGTTGTATGTGCTAATAACCCCTTTTTGAAAATAGAAAAGGAGTGAATAATCCCTACTGTAATTTGAGAGATGAAATACCAGTAAGCTATTTTTAGCTTAAAACAAGAGGTCTTGAAATGTGTTAATGTTTTCCTTATGTTGATGGAAATAATAGAAAACAAGACAATCAGAAATGTCCTGTGGAATCAAATATAAGTAAAATCACTTTAGTGCAAAGATGATGTTTATTTTGTGAATTTAGAGCTAAGTGTTACTGAAGACATGGAATCAGTGTGGCAAACACTCTTTAGCATGTCAGTTTATATGCAAAACGGAGAAATTATTTGGAGAATAGCTTTTTAAAACTTAAAACTATTTTCAAAAGTAAAATATAACTAATTGGAAAGTAGTTGTTCTATTACAGTATTTGAAATAGATTTTGTTTTAAAATACTTCTGTCTTTTTAACATTGAAGGGAATTGTTACAGTGTGGATTATTTTTTTAAGACAAAGCAATTTGTTATGTAAATATATGCAGTGAAATTAGTACATTAAAAATGGGGAGGAAATATGTTACTTTTAAGAGCCCAAGAATTCAGTGTTGTGTTTGGTTGTGTTTTTGTTTGGTTTTTTTGTTTGTTTTGTTTTGGTTTTTGTTTGTTTGTTTTAAATTAGACTTTGTATTTTTCTGTAAATTCTGTTCATCAGGTTTTTAACTGCATTGTGTCTTTAGGAAGTAAAAAATCATGTCTTTTTGCATTTGATGTCAACCCTCAGGGCAATTTCTGAAACATTTATTTGTAACCTCTGCAGTGGAGGAGCACTGAGATGCTTGCTTAGGTGTATATGTTCTAGGTCAACTCTTAGCAGTCTTTAAGCTTGGCACAAAAGGAATTAGAGTTTTCTTCATATATTTAAGGTACTTGTTGCCCAAACATATCACACTTACATGGCAATACTGGTAGAACAACTGATTTCACTTATATGAAAATGTGTGTGACGTGGCACATCTTCAATATTACAAAAATTTGAGAGATTGAGTTGTGGTTTTAAAATTTGCTTAGTGATGTATTTTACGTTTTGGATTCACTGCCTGTAAGTAGCTCTTTCCTGAAATGCCTGGATGATTTCATTAAAAATTAATTGTAAAGGTTAAAAGAGAAGATGTTGAATAAAGGAGAGGAGAATGAGATCTGTTCAGTGGGAGAAATGTGCACAAATACTTGATGTGACAGATCAAGTTGTAACAGGGCTACCACTTGACAGCAAACTTACTCACTTTAGCAGACTTCTTTTACTTTGGAGGAGTACAATATAGTATAAGATTCTGAAGAATAACTTTTTTGTTTCTAACTCTTGATGACCACATGGGTCTTATTGTTCATCTCTGCAAGTAGACTTAGTTTTAATGAACGTTGATGGGCAGTTACTCTTGAAGGTAGCTAGTTCCTGGCTATATCTGAAACATCTTCCTGGATAAACGTTATAGGCTGTAATTCATTATGAAATAGATGGATGTCATCCCCCGTATGTCTTTATTTGCATAGCATTTACTTAGAAATAGTGATCCAGGAGGAGATGGGGAAGATGCATTGAAATAAACCTTTCTTAGAAAGAAAATGGCATTTCATGCAAAATCATGTGAAGTCTACCATCTAAAATACCTGAAGTTTCTCACAACTTTTTCCTACTATTAGTCTCTAGTTCCTTAACTTTCTAGTGTATTTGTTCCTACTACACTAAGGATGCTTGTTTTTTATTTCCATTGTATGGTAACTTTTTCTCTAGTTTTTCCTCTAAGTTTTATCATAAAATGAACGTAAGACCCTTAATGTTTAATATTAATTAAAATAACTTCAGGTTTGTTCTTTCTGTCCTGTATAAGGGTATCTGAAGAATTTTTACAAATTTTATCTTGGAAATTAGCTTATTCATTATGTTTAATTTTAGGAAATGGTGCTCTTGCAGAACATTCTGAAAATGTGCATATTTCAGGAGTGTCAACGGGTAAGTCATTTTTTGTAATGTTTAAATTTCATGCATGACTTAAATAGTAAATATTGAAAGCCACCTGGTATCTTATGAAGAGATATTTGGCTATAAAAATTATTACTGCCTTTTGCAGCATGTAATAAGGAATGAAGCAACTGTAACATGGAAAAATTCTCATAAGATAAAATTGATACCTGCATGCTCATGAACAGATTATGCCTTTCTAAGTGGACTGCTTAATTATTTTTCCATACAAACATTGAACTAAGAGAAAAGTTGATTTAAGTTGAATTGATATTTTCTTTCCACAGTAAAGTTTTTGTGAAATGAAATTTATTGAAATGTAATTTTGGACACTGCTACAATCAAATAATATAAATCCAGGAGTTATGCGTTTCACCTGATTAGATTGAAGCAGTAACTGACACTACTGTACACTTGACTGCACAGTTTCCTTAATACAAGAAAAAAAGAATTTTAGAACTCATGAAACTGAGAAACTGATGAGATGCTAGAAGAATATGGGGTATGAAAGCAGCACGTGTTGCTTAAAGGTTACTGCATTCTCTTCCACTGAGTTGTTTTAGGCCTTTTCTGGGCAGCAGCCACAGTGGGGCTATTCTGTGTTAGTTATGGGACTGTGTGTCCATTAAGGCATTGGGTGATACCAGTGTATCGTTTTTATTCTTCAGTCATTAAGCAGTGTCAGCTAAGCTGCTGGTTATGATACAGATACTCATAATATGTGCAAATGGGGAGATAAATGCTCTTCAGTGAGTAGAAGAATACAAGCGTGATTCATTCCATAGGGAAGCTGCCACTAATCCTTGGAAATAAAACTGATTTTCACACCCTTCTCCTAAAATATGAGTCAAAATGCAAACTTGTCCTTTTCAACAACAGCCTCCACATCTCGCTGTACTTATCCTTGCAGTATTGCTTCAAACATTGCACTGCTTCTTGTGCGTACTGTTAAGTTTTTGAATAAATGTACTGCCAGTGGAGTCTCTGTTACACCATATTACCTTCTTCATCCCTTTCATTGTTTTCCACTCAAAGCCTGGCAAAAGGATAATTATAGAAGATCTTTGCTATCCATTCTTGAGCTGCATCATGAAGAATGCTGTTGTTTTTCAACAATAGCAATGCAGCAGGTATTATACATAGTACATTTATGGCCCACTGTAAATAATAAATAACAGCACAGGTACTTGCTACTGTTTGAACAATTGTTGCTGGAACTGGACTGTACAAGATCCACAGACTAAAATCTAGATATGCAGCTTTCAGGATATGTTTAAACAACCCTTCACCCATTTGTTTACTGTAACAGTTGTGCCACAGGTCACAATACAGGCAGAAAAGCATCTGCTGGGCAAGAGGTGAATGGAATTTTTGACTCTGCTTTCAGTACTTTGGCCAGCATGCTTGAATAGGCAGTGCCAAGAAGAGGAGAACACAATGTACTTTCTACGCAAGATAACAGCAGCTGGTAGACAGACCCTTAACTACTGAGAAGAAAGATCCAGTGAGGACTTCTATTTAAAAATAAATTAAAATAAAATAAAATAAAAAAATCATATAGATATGAAAAGTAGTTCTGGTGGTCATGTGTTCTAAAATATCTTTCCAGCTGGGGAAAAATACATACCATACTCTTAAAGTTTCTATGTTAAGATAAAGCAAAAATTCTTTCCTGGAGAATTTTGAGATAATGGGGGTGGGGGTGGTAAAGACCAGAAGAAAGCATGTAGACAGGCCCAGTGGCATTTTCTTTACAGGTCTTTGTATGTACATCTTAAGTGTTAGGTGTATGGCCCAAGTATAAAAAATGAGTATGGATTTAGATGATTTTTTTTAGTTACTCTGAAACAATCTGTGTCTCCCAGACATGTTTTCTGAACTTGCACATTGTGTATT